TAATAATAATAATAATAATAATAATAATAATAATAATAATAATAATAGAATTTGTCTTCAGTGCATAAGCTCTCATTGTAAATAAAAGCTATAAGTGACAAATCATGATCTTAGTCATCATAAAAATACATTCATCATAAATCATAAGCTATAACATTTAGTGATAGTCATAGGATACTAAATAAGCAATCAGCATAAATTGTACTAGGAAACTAAACAAAACAATATAAACTGTAAAGATGCAAGCAACACAACTGCACACCAGAACAACTAGACACAAGGACATTTTTTTCTCAAATAACATCAGTCTGCTAAACAACTAATTCCCACAACACTGTCAAACTATTTATATTTAGTAAGACTGTATTACTATTATTCTTCTCGTCCTTCCTATTACCTATCTCTTCCAACTTATAACTATAACTGTGTTGCTTGTATCTTTACAATTTATATTGTTTTATTTGTTTCCTACTATGATTTGATTGCTTATTAGTAACCTATGACTATCACTGTTGTATCTTATGATTCTTGATGAATGTATTTTATTATTTCTTTATAGACACTGAGCTTATGTACCAGAGACAAATTCCTTGTGTGTCCAATCACACTTGGCCAATAAAGAATTCTATTCTATTCTATGCTATTCTAATCATAGGTATAAAAGGAGATAGGTAATAGGAAAGGTGAGAAGAATAATATTAATGCAGTCTTACTAAATAAGAGCACTTCACCAAGACTGCCATTGGATACCTAATCCACTTCAAACAGAGGGGAATGTGATGTTTGCGAAGTTCCTCCTGTTTTAATATTTTGCAGCCGTTTAACTGATCAGTTAGGGGACGCGGTGATTCAGTGGCGAAGACGCTGAGCTTGTCGATCAGAAAGGCCAGCAGCTTGGCAGTTCGAATCCCCAGCGCCGCGTTATGGAGTGAACTCCCATTCCTTGTCCTAGCTTCTGCCAACCTAGCAGTTCTAAAGCACGTAAAAAATGCAAGTAGAAAAATAGGGACCACTTTGGTGGGAAGGGAACAGTGTTCTATGTGCCTTTGTCATTTCATCATGCCAGCCACATGACCACAGAGATGTCTTTGGACAGTGCTGGCTCTACTTCGGCTCCGTGATGGAGATGAGTATCATCCTCTAGAGCTGGAAACGACTGGCACGTATGTGCGAGGGGAAACCTTTACCTTTACCTTTAACTGATCAGTTAAGCAGGACTGGATAGGAGACCATTAGCTTATCCTACTAGGCTGGACTCAGAAGTCAGGAAAAACCTATCCAAGGCAGCTGTGTCCATGAAGGCACCACCGATCAGTCTCATCTCAGACCTAACTTTTCTTCTTAATCCACTAAGCCTTTCATTTCATTTTAAAGAGACAGACTTTAAAATGATGTGATGTGCTGTAAATCTCAGACCTGGAACTGGCTGAAAAATAGATTAAAAACTAGGTTCTCTGTAAAGAAGGCTTTAGTTTTATGTAGAAGGAAAAAGAAGAGACGAGAAACCAGGCTTTAGTTTATTTCTAGCCAGATTTATTCCATTTGCATTGGCTGCAGTCATATACACAGCCTCTGCTCAACCTGGAAATGGAGTTTCTAAAGTCACCAAAGAGATGAAGTCCCCACAGTACAGTTACACACACGGGAATTGGCCATGGTTAATATTATCCACATCTAACATGTGTGAATGTAGATTAGAAATAACTTTTAAAGAAGAGACTGGACAGCCACTTGTCTGAAATGGTATAGGTTCTCCTGCTTGCGCAGGGGGGTGGACTAGAAGACCTCCAAGGTCCCTTCCAGCTCTATTCTATTCTATTCAACTAGTCAACATCTCGTCTTTTCTGCAGGGAGCTACATCCGCAAAGCTGTGAATGTATCCTTGGGGGCACTGATCATCTTCCTCAGCATCCCGGTGGTTCTCAATCTGATTAGTTCCCAGCAAATCATGAATACTTCCTACAACCCCCTCAGGATCGTCAACACCTACGGAGCATTTGGAAGGTAAGATCCACAATATCTAAAGAGCATCTGGCCTGTGTCCTTGGTCTCTCTTTGAGCCATGCCTGTCGTGGCCTGTCAACCGCCAGCCCCTCCAGCAGCCGAATTGAGGAAGAGGAAGCGTGGGAGTCGAGATCAGCATCAAGGCTACCTGAGAGCTCCGAGGGCGAAGAGGGAATGGAGCTGTCAGAGAGAGAGACAGACAGACAGAGGCGGAGCCTGGGTCATCCATCAGCCTTCAGATGGAGAGTCAACACCCACCAGGTCTGGAGGTGGCTGATGAGGAAGAGGAGGGACGGCTGGGTCCAGTGCCTGACACGTGGATGCACAGAAAGCAGAGGAGAGGAGAGCAGTGGGAATCTATGGGTTGGTCCTTGGGACGGAAGAGCCACTACTGCCAGTGAGGCCGCACCCTAGCTCTGGGGATAAAAGGCAGGGGGCGGAGATGAATAGATGTGAGAGACACCTGTTCATCTTACGGATGGAGGGACTTGTTAGTCTGCCTTGAGAGAGAAACTTTTTGCTCGGGGCTCCTAATAAAGGCATCTTTGAGTTAACTTCAGAGGGTTTGTCGTGTTTGGTGAGCTGGGTCAGAACATGCCACTGTACTTTGTAAGGGGAAAGAGCAATGTCACCAAAAAAAAAAAATCCATTTAAAAACACTCAAGGACCTTTTCAGGGCAGCAGAACATCTCTGGTCACAAGAGCCTTCCCAGAAGCGCAACGAAGAAGCCTTGCCTGGAAGGATGCCAAACATTCCTTCATCGTGACCACTCTTTATTGTCTACAAGATATAAAGATGAGCGGGTCAACCTGTTTTCCAAAGTACCAGAAGGGAAGACAAGAAACAGTGCTTAGAAACTAACCAAGGAGAGAACCAACCTAGAACTAAGGAAAAATTGCCTGACTGTGGTAATATATTTTATTAATCATTTTATCATTTTCTGTAAGGCCTTTGTATAACTAGCAGTAAGTCTAGGAAGATGTGGGCATTCTTGGTGGGGGTAGGAGTATCTTTGCTCAGAGTGCCTCATTCTGTTTTGATTCTGCCAGTTTAGAAGGAACAGGAAAATGGGTGAAAGTTCAAGGTACACAGTTGTGCTTTCTCATGGGACTTTCCAAACTTTCCCATGAGACTTTCTGTGGCTGTATGATCTCATCCTAGCAAGGTAACATCTGGGACTTTCCAAGATTGTGTGTTCTCATGCTGGTGAAGTAATCTCCTGTTGAGGTCATTGTTTTCTGAATATGCATACTGTATATTTTGCTTGTGTTTTTTCTCAATAAATACTGCTACCTGAGTTCTCTCAGGGTTGGCATTTTTCTCAGAGACAGTTCCCTGTGTCTCATTTCAAATGTCAATCCACCATACCTGACAGTGAGAACAATCAACCGGTGGAACGACTTGCCTTCAGAAGTTATGAGTGCTCCATCACTGGAGGTTTTTAAAAAGAGATTGGACAGCCATTTGTCTGAAGTGGTATAGGGTCTCCTGCTCGTGCAGGGGATTGGACTAGAAGACCTCCAGGGTCCCTTCCAACCCTCTATTTTTCTATGTTCTATGTCTTTTGCACAACTTTCTGGAAAGATCAGAGTCTGGATCCAGATTCAGCCATGGCCACTCATAGGCTTTCTTGCATCCTAGTCTCAGAATCTGAACATCTTGGAGCAGGGGTGTCCAAACACAAGGCCTATGGACCGGATCCCCCCCGCGATGTGGTCAAATCCACCTGCGGGGCCGTCCTGGAAAATGTAAGCAGCCGTCCTGCGTCTGTTGTGGCCCACCGGCCGCTGACAGAGTTGTCAGCAGAGTCTTACAGTAGCGAGGAGGTTGGGGAGGAACCTGGCCCAGTCTTGGAGGCTGAGGGCTCTGCATCAGAGACAGAGATGGGGCCAGAGCAAGCTGACAATCATTAGCTGCCTTCAGGCTCAGACAGCAGTGAGGCAGGGGAGCTTCTGGAACTGGTTCCTAACCTGCGCATTGGCAGGGCTACTAGTTGACAAGAACAATTGAGAAAGCAGGGTTGACTCAGGAGTAAGGCCATACCTCAGAGATGATTGGCCCCTCCCAGGGGTGGGATTCTACCGGTTCTGTCCACCTCTGTAGAACTGATAGCTCTGAAGAGCAGCAGACAGAGGACATACATAGAACCAGTTCTATGTCTGCTGCTGTTTTGGCCTGCCTGCCCGCCCGGGCTCTCAGCTGACCTTTATTTCCTGCTTTTTCAACCACAGCTGCTTTGCGCAACACAGCTGCGGTTGAAAAAGCAGGAAAAAAGTGCTTGCTCAACCGTTGCGCACCTGCGCGCAGCGCTGCTCAGCTGTCCAGGCAGCTAGCTGACGACGATATATGAATGCGAATATCATGCGAAGCACACATGCACACGCAAAATGTAAAATCACCGAACCGGTAGTTACACTGGTCAGATCCCACCCTTGGCCCCTCCCATGTGACATAAAAGAGGAGCAAACAGGACGTGAGTTTTTGCAGGAAGCAATTAGTTCATCTGATCAATTCAGGCTTTGGAAAGTCCTGTTTGACTCTGTGTCAAGTTTGGCCTTGCCATGCGCTTGGCAATTAGTTCTCTGGCAGCTTTCCAAGTGCGATAAGGTAGGTGTTTATAAACATTGCCATGAAAGACTGTTTGTGAAGCCTTGCAGGCTGTGAATGAACGTAATTCACAGCCATGGAAATAAAAGAGGTTTTGCTGTAACCAAGATTGTGTTTGATGCTTTCTAAGGAAGCCTAGGTCAGAACAGTGTCGCTTCGGCCCAGTCTACCCAATGCAAAGAGGAAACATGCCCGTGTCAACTCATAACATATTTCTATGGTCTTTTAGAGTTGCCAACGGAGAGGGAGGGGGAGCAGTGTAGCAGCTTGCAAAGCCAAAACTGCCTTCCATAAATGTTTTCATAGATAGCTTCCAGGCAACCGAAGTTTCTTCCGCGCAAAATTCTAACTGGAGGGCATGATTGATGACTCTTGGATATGGATGTGTTCCATTGGAGAATATGAATTATGATACACCCAGGGGGTGGGGGAAAACCAGGATCAAGGGTGACAATAAATTATGTGTTGCAAGAGTCGGCTACACCCAGTGTTGGACATATTAACTCCCAATAAGTCCTTTTGAATGCCGGAATCCTGACAGCCAGCAGTTTGGGGACTGGTTTCAAGCTGGGCACAGCCACCCAGTTGGCCACACCCATCCCGTTGGCCATGCGCCCCCCCAGACCCCTCCAGGTCAACCACAGCCCTGATGCGTCCCTGAATGAAATTGAGTTTGAGCCCGCTGCCTTAGAGGTTCCGTCCTTCCATCCTAAGGAGGCCAGTTTTGTATTCCATCCTCAGCCAGGTGACCTGAGGCCATCCTGGGCTCTCAAGACCAGCCTCTCCATGGAGTTATTGGGGTGGGGAACATCAAAGGGCGGAGCTGTGCTCGCTGCCAAGATCTCCTGCTCAGAAAGGATTCATGTAAAGTGATCCGTCAAATACGAACTCAATCTATCCCTTCCTTTTTCCGTAGGAATTCTTGTGACGTAGCCAACAAGGCCTCAAGCACGTTTGGCCATGTCTGGCAGGCAGCGGTCCTACAGCTTTTCACTCTGGCACTTGCAGCAAAAGCCTAATGCGAAAGAATCCCTGGTGATTTACAATCCTGAGTGATCTTTTTAACAGTCTTCCTTACAGTTTTTAGCCATCGGTCCAAAAAGGCTGACCGACTGTTTTTCCATGTTGGTTGTAACAGAATGGAGAATGTGTTTTGCTTAAGCAATTGCTTACACTCCCTGCCGTGAAGCGATTGTAATCTTGTGAAGTATGTACGTCTACGGGGAGTCCTCAAGTTACAACCACAATGGAGCCCAGAATTTATGTTGCTAAGTTGTCATTGGTTAAGTGAGTTTTGCGCCATTTTACGAACTTTCTTGCCACTGTTGTAAAGTGAATCCCTGCAGTTGTTAAGTGAGTAACACGGTTGTTAAGTGAGTCCGGCTTTCCCTGTTGACTTTGCTTAAAAGGGGATCCTGTGACCCATAAGTGGGGAAAATTTTGTCATAAATCACTTTTTTTTCAGTGCCATTGTAACTTCAAATGGTCACTAAATGAACTGTTGTAAATCGAGGACTACCTGTAGATCAGCGGTGTCAAACCCGCGTCATTATGGAGGCATCACATGACGTATCGCGACTTTCCCCCCCCTTTGCTAAACCAGGCATGGGCTTGGTCAGTGCCTAACACATCGGGCCCACGGGCCGGGAGTTTGACATCCCTGCTGCAGATAGTTCAATTCTAATATTTTGTGAACGCCCCGTGTAATCTTGATACCTAATCAGGACTCGGCTGGACCATCCCTTCCTTGGAACCCCGAAAGCCTTTCTCGCCTCCCCCCTAAAACTGTGTTGTAAAGTTGGACTTCCATTTAGCAACGCTGGGAAGAATAGAATAGGATAGAATATGGAATGGAACGGAACAGAACAGAATTGGAAGGGACCTTGGAGGTCTTCTAGTCCAGCCCTCTGCTCAAGCAGAAGAACCTATACCATTTCAGACAAGTGGCTCTCCAGTCTCTTCTTAAAAACCTCCACTGATGGAGCACCTACAACTTTTGAAGGCAAAGCTGTTCCACTGGTTAATTTTCCTCACTGTTAGGAAGTTTCTCCTTAATTCCAGGTTGATTAGTTTCCATCCCTTGTTTCTTGTCCTGCTCTCTAGTGCTTTGGAGAATAATTTGACCCCCCTCTTCTTTGTGGCAGGCCCTCAAGTACTGGAATATTTCTGCCCTTGCACTTAACGCGTCCCTGGGCCGCACTTGGTTGCCTCCTCAAGAGCTTCCAAAGATTCACCACACTCTTCTATCTTGCAGCATCACCAAAGAGAGAACTGAGGTTATAATCCAAGGGACTTCCAGCTCGGATCCCAATGATCCTGATGCAGTTTGGGAAGAATATGAATTCAAGTGTAAACCCGGGAATCTGCAGAGGCGGCCCTGCCTAATCAGCCCCTACCATTATCGCCTGGATTGGCTCATGTGGTTTGCCGCTTTCCAGGTGAGTATCTGTTGTGGTTCTCTGGCAGCCAGTGCGGACAGCAAAGGTATCGGACAGTGAGGACAAAAGGAACCAGTCAGGGCGAGGACTTGGACGAGGGTCCTGTGTCCGGTGCAGGGATAGGGCCATCTGGGAGTGGGGTGCTGCCTTCGGAGTCTATTACAGCAAGGACAAGCAGAAAAGAAAACTACAGAAGGGAAAATTAGAGAGAGAAGGGTATAAAAAAGGGATGAGAAAAAGGGGGGAAAGATAGAAAGGGAAAGAACTTACGAGGGACAAAAACAAGAAATAAAGAAAAAGGGGAAACGTACTAGGGTTAAAGGTATTTGCTCAGCTAGAAAACACAGAGACAATGGTTAAATTAAGTTAAAAGTGAGGATTCTGCAAAGGTACAAAAGATAGTGTTGTGAGTTAGAAATGAAATAAGTAAATAATCTATGAGGTAAAACTATTGTTATGTAATGGTATGTTTATTTATAGTTAATGCAATAATAAAGAAGAGAGGGAAACATTGCAATTGTTTCTAAAGATTGATAAAATATTGAAAAGAAATGTGAAAGTTTTATAAGGAAATTTATACCAGTTATTAGAATGAATTTGAATAATTATTTTGCTTATTAATAGTAAATAATTTATAAGATAAAACTGTATGACTATCCAATGGTATGCTTATTAACAGTTAAGTAATAATGAAGAAGGGAGGGAAATTGTTCTCAAAGTGATAGATATTGAATTTGAATGTTATGTCAAAGATGCACAAATTCAATGTTTAATGAGATTTCATATGATAATAACAATAAGATTTAAAGGTGTTGCACTTCGATTGGCAATCATAGGGGGAATTTTGCTTCTTAAGAATGTTGGAAGAGAACATATGAAATTGTAAACAAGACAGACGAAAGTATAAGTACAATGAATAAAAAGATATAGCAATTTAGGTAAAAGAAATACAATTGAATAAGCAGAAAATGAGATAACCATAAAAGAAAATTAAGGGAAGTAAAGGGAGAAATAGTGAGAAGTTGGAAAAAGAGTAATAGGTATGAAGTTGAATACATAAGATGAATATGCATATGAAATTGTGTCTGTATGGAAATGTGATAACCCAGAACCATGCTGTATTCAAATAAGATGTTTTATTTGTTTTGTTAAAACTCAATAAAACTTTATTTAAAAAAAAAGAATTAAAACATAATATAAAATGCCTAATAACTTCTAGGCTCCATTCAGTAGCATGGTCTGGTGTCTGTGGGATAGAGACAATGAATGATTGATCTCATCCGACTCTTCTCTGGTTCCTGAAGAGCAACCAAGAAGCATGAGAGAAATCATTTCCATCCTTCAGCCTCTCTCGCAACGGATTGTTTTTTGGAACTCTTCACTGCTTGATACGCAACAGTCTCTTCTGCTGGCGGCTCCTAGAAAAACTTCCTCTTTTGGGACAAGGGCCCAGATTTCCACTGGAAGCAGAAAAAGGAGGCCTAAAGCCTGTCATGGTTGAATGAGGACTTTCTGAATATTGGCACATCGGAAGTTTTATACACTTGTGGATCCATCTGGATTACCCACTTCCAAAGAGCATCAGGAGGGGGAGGAAAATGCCTAATTGCCTAATTGCTACACCAAAAGTGCTTTTAATTGTCTTTTGGGCAGCACGCCATTACTTTGCAAGAAAACATTTCCTAATTTATTATTAGCCAAATATAATCACTCTCTGCATTTTTATTCTTTCCAACTCAGCAGAATGTTGGAAAGAAATGATGTGAAGACGCTGAAGAGTCTTATCGGCAAACGCTCTCACAATTGAACAGAACAGGTCCCCCCTTGAGGGAGGGAGGCGAGTGGGGAGAAGTCAGCAGAAAGAAGTCAGCTGAGTTTGAAAATGGAGCACTTTGAAAAGGGCTACAAAGAAAAACCCTGAGCACCTCCAAAAGAGTTGGAAGGACCCTTGGAGGTCTTCTAGTCCAGTGGTCGCCAACTGGTGGGCTGGGGACCACTGGTGGTCCACGAGAAAATTTCAGCGGTCTGCAGAGAACGGTCCCCTCCAAAGCGCACCCTCCCCTCAAAGCAGTTAATCCAGGCTGCATGGGAACACATGGCTGCGCCGTCCACATGGCCTGCCCACCCGCTGGCCCCCACCCTTCGGCTGAGCGCAAACCTTCAAAGCGCTGAAGTGCGAGTGGCACGGGAAACTTCAGCCGGGCTCCTCGAACGAAGTCGGAATGCTGATGCCATGCAAATAGCATGGCGCTCTCGCCCCTTCCAGCCATCTCCATCGCCGCTTCGGCCCACCTGGGCCTCCGCCCCCCCCCTCTTGCCGCAACAGCAACATTACCTTGTCCTGGCTGGCAAGGGCTGCACTGTATTTCCATGTTGCACCACCTACAAATTTGCACATTACACGTGCCAACCTCTACAGCAAGAGATTTCCAACCCCACCACGGGCCAGTCCCATATTCCAGAGCTGCAGTAGTCACAAGACTGACCCTTTGGTCATCCCGGAGCATCTCCTTCAGTCCATGGCAGGCCGATACACCCGGGTGGAGGAGCAGCTGCTCCGGGATGACCAAAGGGCCAGTCCTGTGACTACTGCAGCTCTGGAATATGGGACCGACTTTCCCACCAACGTCAGCAATTCATATTAGTGGTCCGCAGGATTTAAAATTATGAGTTTGGTGGTCCCTGAGATCCAAAAGGTTGGTGACCCCTGTATCTAGTCCAACCCTCTGCTTATGCAGGAAACCTTATACCATTTCATACCAATGGCTGTCCAGTCTCTTCTTGAACACCTCCAGTGATGGTGCACCCATAACTTCTGTTTGATTGATCTCGCTGTATAGAAATTTCTCCATAGTTCTAGGTTGCTTCTCTCCTTGGTTAGTTCCACCAATTAATTGTTCTCACTGATGGGTCAGAGGTTGGAAATAATTTGAGCAGTTGGTCTCCGAAGGTCTACCTTCTTTTATGTCCCTCCAGAACCCTTATGGGGAGAGCATTGGAAAAAGACTCCTCCAAACCTTCTATTGAATGGAGTGCCTCAGGGGCTAAGATGCTGAGCTTATCGATCAGAAAGGTGGGCAGTTGGGCGGTTTGAATCCCTCGCACCGTGTAATGGGGTGAGCTCCCGTTACTTGTCCCAGCTTCTGCCAACCTAGCAGTTCGAAAGCAGGTTAAAAATGCAAGTAGAAAAATAGGGACCCCTTTGGTGGGACGGTAACAGAGTTCCATGCGGCTTCAAAGGCGTTTAGTCCTGCCGGCCACATGACCACGGAGACGTCTTTGGACAGCGCTGGCTCTTCTTCAGCTTTGTAACGAAGATGAGCATCGCCCCCTAGAGCCAGGAACGACTGACATATATTTGCGAGGGGAACCTTTACCTTTACCTTAATCCTTCCTTCCTTGTTGGGCTTGAGCCCTTGGTCTCAGCTCAGGCCACTAATATGGGAAAGAAACCAGGATTGCACCCTGATATCAACAACAATTAACCAATGGAACGGCTTGCCTTCAGGTGTTGTAGATGCTCCATTACTGGAGGCTTTCAAGGAGAGACTGGACAGCTGTTTGTCAGGGTCTCCTGCTTGAGCAGGGGGTTGGACTAGAAGACCTCCAAGGTCCCTTCCAACTCTGTTATCCTATGTTCTGTGGTGTATCTCAGATGAAGTGCTGTTCTTTGATGTTCCCTTGTCATTTCCATTCCAGTAGTTACAAGGATGTTTATCCCTAACATGTGGCACCAACAAGGAACAGCGCTGACTTCAGGGTGTTTATTTGAGAGAACACGAGGGAAAGTTGAATTCCCCATGATGAAGAATGTTTGTAGTATCAAGAACTGGCCATAAAAAGGCTTTTCAAAAATCTTCACCAAAATTGTGGGCAGAGAAATTGGATAGAAATATTCCCCCCCCCCCCCAAATTTCTCTGCAGGAAGCAGATACTCTCCAATCATTTCTGAAGGACAGAGCTCAACCTTAGCAGTGACAGTGGCTCTTTGACCAAAAAAGCCCCCTAGAAATTTCCCCCAGGATTTCAAGAAAGCATGGGAAAAACCAGGGAGGTTAGAGATGGCTGGACAATAATGGGAACCCTTTGCTGTTTCATCGCTCAGTACCAACAACAACCACATTTTCGGTGTTAGGAAAGGTGCCCAGGTTCCACTGCAAAGGCTGGGCTTGAGTTTGACCCACATGCTCAACCTTTTCAACTTCCTCCTAGGACGGGGTGCCAAAATCGATTTAAATTGATGGCTGCATCAGGGCTGTGTTTTACCTTGGGGCGGAGGGGGCAGGGGGCATGGCCAGGGGGCGTGGCTAGCTCAACGTCCATTTTCGGCTGCAACGCCCTTCTGCAGCCTATTGCTAGTGAAAAGGAAGCTCGGGGGCATGTGTGGCTCTCCCGAGCTCCGTTTTTGTTTGCAGAGGCATCGGGGGCTGGTCCTTTGCTGTTTCCAGGGCAATACAGCATATATCAAAGATGTATCAAAGTCTATCAATACAGGATATATCAAAGTCTATCAATGCAGAATATATCAAAGATGCATCAAAATCTATCAATAAAAGAATATATCAAAGATGTATCAAAGTCTATCAATACAGAATATATCAAAGATATCAAAGTCTTATCAATACAGAATATATCAAAGTCTATCAATACAGAATATATCAAAGATGTATCAAAGTCT